AGAAAAATAATCTACTCGAAGGGAAATACTGTAATATACACCGAGAAATAGTTTTGTGTTTTAGAGTAAGATTTCAATGAATAAATGCTCGCCAGCATTTGTAGGCGTGGGCTGAGATGACATATTTACTATGAAGAAAGGAATGTGGGATCGAATATACATATAAACTCCACCGCCACGTCCACAAATACGATCATTCCTTACCACCTGAAAGCCTGAGTACGTTACTGTGGAGAGGCATGGCTTGAGCCACGATTCTGATACAAGAATTGCGTAGATATTCGTACAGTCAAAAGCTGTCAGCATATCAGAGAAATGTGCCGGAATGCTTTGGGCATTTATATGTACGACATTGAAATTCCTGGGAACATCAGAGAATTGACTCGAGATAGTATCTGCGAGCGAAGGAATACTAGTGAAACTAGCATCATCACTGGACACCGAAAAATATTCATCAGTGTCACTATTAGTGATGGATGACGTCATCAGTATGTAATTTGAAATATGGTTTAATGTGAATATGGGTATAAATATATTAAGAATATAATAAGTAGTTATAATAGTATAAATGTGCTACTAAGACTTTTCAAATCAATTAATCCGTCTGCCGGTTGCATGTTATTATAATAATTAATTTATAAATGAAAGAAAAGTTTGCATAATCTGGCACTACAAAATTAATTTAATTTGGGGTTGCGATCCAAAACATAGTGAATAAAAATTTAAAGATAAAAGATAAAAATACTAGTATGGAAATTTATACGAATTAAAATTTGTGTAGTTCTAAAAGGCAGGTATTCAGATCATGCGAATGTTACACATCTACTAAAAGGAATGACATGAACTGGAACGCAATCCCGTTGTCACATGTGATAGCTTCCTTAGTTTGACATACGACTTACGAGTACACTTACGGACAGATTGTGAGGTGTGTTAAAGCGAGAGTATTGATTTTATAGGTTACTAGCGGACCCGGCAAACGTTGCTTTGCCTAAAAAAAAATTTTGGGATGGGTCACCCTTACCATTTAGGGGTATGAAAAATAGATGTTGGCCGATTCTCAGACCTACCCGATGTGCACACAAAATTTCATGAGAATCGGTCAAGCCTTTTCGGAGAAGTACGGGAACGAACATTGTGACACGAGAATTTTATATAAAAGATTTTCCGTATTTTGGCAAATAATTTCATATTGTGCTTTGGAAGTGGTGTTTGTGTGGTTCTGTTGCAGGAATAATCTTTAATAAGGTTAGTGAATATCAACAACCGCGCTCATTTCTACGAAAATGAGCGCGGAAGACCCCCCTAATGGGGGCGGTGTATTACCCCCGATAAACCCAAAGCTGTTAAGCGCCAGTCGGACTCAGTTTTTCCCGTCGACTTCGATGGGAAGAAAATACGTTCTCCAGCTGAATCGATTCAATCCATTTTCTCTAAACCTGTAAAAAATAGAAAAGATGGATCTCCCGTTTGGGTCCCATCGAACTCCGTTTCTCGGTCAGAGTCTTCCAGAAAAAAAAAATTGTTTTAATGCATCTCTGCCGGTGTCTCTTTACCAGTTACCCACCATTCAATGTCAGGGGCGTGCGCTCCTTGTAGGCAGAAATGCAGTGCTTTACTTGCTATTCACAGACATTTTAATAAAACGTTCGTACGTTTTAGATGACTTTAATTAATAGTAAATAAATGAAAAAACAAAATATAATAACTTAAAAACGCCCACTATTTAAAAATAGCACCACACAAACATTATGTTTGCCAGGTGTTTACCGAAAAGCAAGCGCAAAGCAACTCATGCCGTCGCGTCCCGCATTACATTTGTTCGCATGTGTGTAGTAATTTTGGTGTCCGTGCACAGTTCGCAAACGCACACACCCATTTATTTTATTACCCCGCTTCCAGCCGCAGGCTATCGAAGTTAGTTCGGGAGTAATCGGAAGTGTTCGTTTAAATACCAGATATGTTTCGTGTGTTTCGCGGCGTTATTGTTTACTATTTTGTTTGCGCCAGTATATATATAGTTTTATTTTTCATTTTAACATTTGAAAGTGTGTACATTTAACAGTTTATTACTGAGTTCCGTAAATTTTTTAAAAATGTTATTTGATTGTGAGGTACGTGTGGAAAATGTGTGTAATGTGATTTAGTGATAGTGATAGTGATTTTTACATATTCAAGGTTCCGGACCTTGAATATGTAAAAATCAGAAAATTGAAGATGACCAGGTGAGTAGTTATAATATTTTAGCTTATTATTTTACTTATTAGAATTTCTTCCGCCGCGACGATCTATCGCTGTTTTGTAGGGTGTCCCGATTTTTTTCAATTCTTATTTTAGCTACTTAAGACCTCTCAAAAGTTGCGCTGTTAGACGTAGATTAGCGTAAAAATAATTCAAAAAATATTTAAAAATATCCTTAGGGCTCTACCAGCATTTTTATTTACTGAAAATTCGCAAAAACAACCTTGTAGTCAATGTCGTATATTCTATGTTTTATGAATCAATCCTGTTTTGTCTTGTAATTTTATCAATAAGAAAAGCCTCGGCTATGATTTGCAAGTATCGACAGGTTGTTTTAGCGATCAATCGGTTTGGATCGGACTTGCAAAATTCCTACAAAATTCATGTTTTGACTTGATTTTCGTACGTGCGCTACTTCTACAACAAGACAGTTCGTCTCATTTCTATTTCGATTTTACTCTTGTAAGGAGTTGTTCTATTCTTCTTTGAAAGAAAAACGTAATTTGCGTTACTTAATCATAAAAATGTGTTCAAGGCGAAGTGAGACTACTTGTACTATATTGGGACCTTATAAAGAACTTAACGATAGCCAATTACCTGTTATAAAAGACGTTATTAAGTGCATTTTATTTACTAAAACTGAATTAAAACTACAGAAAAACGAAAAAGATCCATCGAACACAGAAGTCTTTTCAATAGTTTCTGGAAAACTTAACAATGTGGACCAAAGCTTCAATTCCCATCGTTTCTAACGTACGGGTTACTCAACTGCTAACCGCATATTTTAACAAATATTTATCACTAATAAGATATCCTAAAAGTAAGAGAAACGATAGCTATGACAACAAAGTTAAGTGCTTTTTTGGAATCGTCAAATAAGCTTTTTGACATCGCTGCTTGTAAGTGCACTTCGTTTGAAAATTGTTCCTGCACTAAACCCAAGAAAGTTCCCATTTCTGAAAGAGATTTTTTACTGGACCAAAGAAATGATAGGAAAATGGCAATAAGCGGCGTAGACGCAAAAGAAACTGCAAGGCTTTTAAAGAAACATCAAAGACAAGAAAATTTGAAGCGGACAGAGCAAGCATGTTTTCCGAGTACTTCACAAACCGATACTGTACCGGTACGCGTGTTGCCGCCTCGTTCACAGTCGCTTTCAATAGAACCTTCTACTAAAAGTGACTTAAAGGAGTCTCCATCTAATTCATTTAGTCGGAACACTCTGACGCTGCCAACAGTAGCTAAGGTGTGTGATCGATACGGACTATCAACGCGTTCGGCAGCTGCAGTCGCTTCAGCAGTCTTAGTTGACGTAGGAATGGTATCTTCCGAAGATCTAAACCTTGTGATTGATAAAAATGAGATTCACAGAGCTGTTTCAAAGTCACGTACCCAAGCCAGCAAAGACATCGATAAAATTATTATAAAGAGTATCTACTTCGATGGGCGAAAAGATAAAACTCTCAAGATCATTAAAATTGACAGCCGGTACCACCGAAAAGAAGTCTTAGAAGAACACATTTCAGTTCTTACAGAGCCGGGATCTATTTACTTGGGACATACGACGCCGAGTCGAGGTTGTAGGAGCGACCTACATAAAATAAAAGCATACGTCCTAACGCGGCGAGGGCGCGCCGACACTGGCTGAGTGGCTGCGTCGCCGTCCCGCCGTAGGCGAGTACGTGCGCCGGAGCAGCGAGCGACATCCCTGCGCCGAGTTCAATTGCATACTGAATTGGATTACTTCGGCGCGGTTATTTTATAGTAGGACACTTTTATACCCTGCGGCACGTCGGCCGTAAGGATCGCGAAGTCCCAAGTTGTGTCATTGGTCAATTTACTTTTATTACTCCTTAATGCTACCACTAATTGTACCAACAAATTGTACATATAATACGTTCATTTTTTATAATAAACACGCATTGTCATAACGTATCTTTGTTTAATTTCTGCATCAAGAACATCCCCGAAAGTGGTGACCCCGACGTGATCATGTCTCAAGAACATCCTGTCGTGCTGTCGGAACAGGATATCGAGACTATCTCCATCAAGGCAAGAATACCACAGTTCTGGCGTGATAAACCTCGACTTTGGTTTGCACAATTCGAGACGATCATTACCAACCAGAAGCTCAGCGATGAAGGCAAATTTACACTGGCCGTAGCACAACTTGAGAAGATGGACATCGAACAAATTGGCGATATTATTTTGTCACCCGCCAACACAGGAAGATACGAGGCATTAAAAAGCAGACTACTATCCGTCTACGAGGAGTCAGAACACAAACAACTACAGAAGCTGCTAAATGACGTAGAACTAGGCGATCAGCGACCCTCCCAACTTTTAAGGCGTATGCGTGACCTGGCGCGCGACAAGATACCCGAACATACACTCCGCATGTTATGGATCGGCCACCTACCCTCTGCTACACGAGCAGTGCTTGCGGTTAGCGAGGAATCAAGACTCGACGCACTGGCAGCGATGGCCGAGCAGACAAAAGAAGTACACTCTGTATGTTCGTGTGGCCATGGCAGCGGTATTATGAATAAGCCAGCAACATCAGCACCAGACGAGAGAATCCTCTGCATGATCGAATCACTAACTAGAGAGATCGCCGCGCTAAAAACGGATAGATCGAGGAACAACTACCGTCATCTGCGCAAAAATCATCAACGACGGCCGCGCTCACGTTCAAACTCAGTAAATCGTACGCCGTCGGTATGCTATTTCCATCGAAAGTTCGGAAATGAAGCCTACAGATGTCGAAGTCCGTGTACTTTCGAGAAGAAAACGAATCAGACACGGGAAAACTAGAAAAGATTTTAGCTGCGACGGGAGCCGAAGTCGACGAAATTTCAAAATACCGTCGTTTATTTATTAAAGAAATATCTACTGGACTTCGTTTTCTCATCGATACGGGAGCCAACGTTTCTGGCTTACCAATTAGAAAAATAGAAAAAAGCAAAATGAAGCAAAATAGTAACCTATACGCCGCCAACGGAACGTCAATACCATCTTATGGCGAACGAACAATGGTTTTGAATATCGGTTTACGGAGACCCTTCAAATGTAATTTTGTGATCGCCGAAGTAACTCGACCAATATTAGGCGCCGACTTCCTGCACAAACATCAACTTACAGTCGACATTCATGGCCGGCGATTGATTGACAAAAAAACTGAGTTATCTGTCGTCGGGTACGTCACACCTACATCAGAGCACAGTATCAACACTGTAAGCAACAAGCAACCGTATCACGACCTACTGGCAAAGTACCCAGATATCACTCGACCAACGCTGAAGCTCTGTCACAGTGAGGTGGAACACCATATAGAAACGACGGGACCACCATTATATTCTAAAGCAAGACCACTGTCACCCAATAAGTACAAGGCAGCGAAGGAAGAGTTCAAGGCAATGATGGAACAAGGAATCTGTAGACCATCGAATAGCCCATGGGCGAGCCCAATACACCTAGTTATGAAGAAGGACGGCAAGTACAGAGTATGTGGGGACTATCGCCGACTGAATGCAATTACAGTTCCAGATCGGTACCCCATACCGAGACTACACGACTTCACCTATAATTTACTAGACAAAAAAATCTTTACAAAAATTGATTTAAAGAAGTCTTTCTACCAAGTTAGAAACAGAGAAGAAGACATTGCGAAGACAGCCGTGATAACGCCTTTTGGTCTGTTTGAATTCACGAGAATGTGCTTTGGCCTACGTAACGCCGGGCAGACATTCCAACGACACATTGACAACGTGCTGCGAGGACTTCCTGTGTTTCCATTCGTTGACGACATTCTTCTGGCATCTTCTACAGAAGAACAACACAGAAATGATCTAGAAGAAGTATTAAAGAGGCTTAACGAAAACGGACTCCAAATTAATGTAGCCAAGTGTACCTTTGGACAGCCTACCCTTGAGTTTTTAGGCTATACAATAACTGCCGAAGGTATAAAACCAACAAACGAGAAGGTCACAGCTATATTAGAATACCCGCAACCGCAGACTATTCAACAACTTCGTCGTTTTCTCGGTATGATGAACTTTTATCGAGAAAATATTCCATATGCCGCTGAACACCAGAAGGAGTTAAATGGCTACCTACATAGTGCAAAAAAGAATGATAAGACACCCGTACAATGGAATGAGAAGGCGATAGAATCTTTTCAGAAGTGCAAACAAGACATAGCAAATGCAGCAATTCTATCGTACCCATCACCAAGTCTACCTTTTGCCTTATTAACGGATGCCTCGGACACCTGCGCGGGAGCTGTACTACAACAAAACATCGACGGACAATGGAAGCCACTCGGATTCTTTTCAAAGAAATTTAACGACGCACAGAAGAAATACAGTACCTACGACCGCGAACTGCTATCAATCTACATGGCTGTTCGTCACTTTCGCCGGATATGTGAAGGCCAAGACGTCACCGTTTTCACGGATCATAAACCTCTAGCCCACGCACTATAGGCAATTAGCAAGAATGAAACGCCGCGACGCACAAGATATCTAGAATACATCGGTCAGTTTGTCACCAACATCGAACACATCGCAGGGAGAGACAACATCGTCGCTGACGCGCTCTCCAGAGTCGAAACAATAACATGTCCAACGCCGATTGACTACGCCGAGCTAGCTAAAGCTCAACACCGCGACGCCGAACTCAAACAGTTGACACAGCAAGACTGTCATACCTTCAAACGTATAACAATACCCGGAGCAACAACAAAAATCACTTGCGAAATGTCTACAGGATCTGCTCGTCCGTTCTTACCACCGGAGTTCAGACAGAAGGCTTTCCAAGCAATTCACGACCTTAACCACCCAGGCGTAAGAGCGACAAAGCGATTAGTAACGGCGCGCTTCTTCTGGTCGTCAATGAAAAAGGACGTTATCGAATGGGCAAGAAGTTGTGTACAATGTCAACGCGCGAAAGTGCACAGACACACTAAAGCACCAGTAGCGAGTTTCACCCCAGTGGAGCGTTTAGAACATGTGCACATAGATATCGTGGGTCCACTACCAGTGTCAAACAACTGCCGGTATATACTAACCATGATAGATAGGGCTACCAAATGGCCAGAGATCTGTACTATGGAAGAAATAACAGCTGAAAAAGTCGCAAGCGCTTTATACGAGACGTGGATTGCAAGATTTGGCTGCCCTGTAACCATTACCACAGACCAAGGCAGACAATTCGAATCCGAGCTGTTCAACAAACTAATGCACCGCATGGGAATACAGCGAACACGGACTACTGCCTACCACCCCCAGTCGAACGGCATCATCGAGCGCTGGCACCGCACGTTAAAAACCTCACTCACTGCGAGATTAACTTCTACCAACTGGACGTACGAATTACCTACCGTACTACTCGGCCTCCGAGCAGCTTTCAAAGAAGACATCGGCACCAGTACAGCAGAATTATTATACGGTAAAACACTTCGACTACCCGGAGAATTCTACGGCGAACCTACGAAGTCATACAACACTACATCTCAGTTTATGAATCACTTAAATGATGCACTGAAAAAGGCGCAGGTGCAAAGAGAACACCATAATAAACAGCGAGACGTATTCATTCATTGCGATCTAAGCAAGTGTACACATGTATATATACGCAATGATGCAGTAAGCAAGCCGTTGACGCCTACTTATAACGGTCCTTATCGCGTTATCAAACGCAACGTTAAATATTTTAAAGTGCAGTTAGAAAATAGAATCTCAAACATATCAATAGACAGATTGAAGCCGGCATACTATTTCAACATAACATTCGATAAGCAATCTAATGATATACCTAGTTATAGCTATGTTACCAGGTCTGGGCGAACCTCTAAGCCATCCGTACGCTTCGCTGGCGGCGGAGTAATGTAGGAGCGACCTACATAAAATAAAAGCATACGTCCTAACGCGGCGAGCGAGGGCGCGCCGACACTGGCTGAGTGGCTGCGTCGCCGTCCCGCCGTAGGCGAGTACGTGCGCCGGAGCAGCGAGCGACATCCCTGCGCCGAGTTCAATTGCATACTGAATTGGATTACTTCGGCGCGGTTATTTTATAGTAGGACACTTTTATACCCTGCGGCACGTCGGCCGTAAGGATCGCGAAGTCCCAAGTTGTGTCATTGGTCAATTTACTTTTATTACTCCTTAATGCTACCACTAATTGTACCAACAAATTGTACATATAATACGTTCATTTTTTATAATAAACACGCATTGTCATAACGTATCTTTGTTTAATTTCTGCATCAAGAACATCCCCGAAAAGGTACTGCGAAAGGGATTGTCACTTCTATTATAGAATTGTTAGAAAATCAAGGATGGAACTTAGAAGAAGTAAGTTGTGTGGGTTGCGATGGCACTCCTACAAATACAGGTTGGAAAGGAGGTGTCATTAAATACCTGGAAGACTATTTGAAGAGACCGTTACAATGGTGTGTTTGTATGCTTCACACAAATGAATTACCGCTTCGCCATTTGTTTATGTCTCTAGATGGTAGCACATTTGGGCCGAAAGAATACTCAGGACCTATTGGAAAACAGCTAAATGTTTGTGAAAGTAAACCACTAGTGTCTTTTTGTGCAGTGGCTGGCAATTTGCTCGAATTACCTGATGACATTGTGAAGGAACTAAGTACGGATCAAAAGTATCTGTATGAAATGTGTCATGCTGTGACGACTGGTTCTTGTTCCCCTGAGTTAGCGAGCCGCCAACCTGGAAAAATGGCGCATTCAAGATGGCTAGCTACTGCCAATCGCATACTCAGACTGTATGTAAGTACTGTTTCGCCATCAAATAATTTAAAGCTGCTTGTCAATTATGTGGTCAAAGTTTATGCTCCAGTTTGGTTCTTCATTAAGAAAAACTCATCATTCAAAGATGGAGCCAATCATATTTTTCAAATGGTTACATACTCCCGATTTTTGCCTGATAAGCAAAGATCTATTGTGAATTCAGTGATCGAGAGAAACGCTTTTTTTGCTCACCCTGAAAACTTACTTGTTACCATGCTATTCGACGACAGAGAGCATATTCGAGAGCTTGCAGCTCGCAAAATATTAAAGGCAAGAGAAGCAGAAATAAGCAATACTCGCAGGGTATTTAAAGTACCAAAACTTAACTTCGATGCGCGATATTACATCGATTTGATATTTTGGCAAGAGTGTGAGATATCCGCTCCACCGATTTTGCGACAGATGTCCGACGACGAACTGAGAATTAAGGCTAAAGAACAAAGCTTCGATGTTATTGATTTCCCCTGTCATACACAATCAGTGGAAAGATGTGTAAAGCTAGTGACGGAGGCTTCTCTAAGTGTCACGGACGCTACAGCTCGGGATGGTTTAATCAGAAACAGATTAAAATCAAATGCCTAATTTTGGCCACAAGAACCAATTTCGTATTTGAAATAAGCACTATTTATAAGTATTTAAACTTTACTGAACATTACCTTATGTCTTTGTAGTACCTATAAATTTGATTAAAACCTTTAAAACATTATTTTTGTATCATTTATAGTTTATGTTCGAAACCTCTAAAAATGGCAAATTTGAAAAACTTCTAGGATCGGTAGAGGCCTAAAGATGACAAATATTTAATTAAATTTTGTTATATTTGTAATCTATTCACAAAAACGCAACTTTTGATACCTCTTGCGTAGCCGTCGCTTTAAAAAAAAAATCCCATACATTGACGGGACACCCTACTGTTTTGTCTGCGTTCCCGTTGAAGATGTACATGAATAGTAGTACATCTAAGACTTGTTCTGTTGGCATGGTTTCCGACTTAGAGATCCATCGCGTGGCTGTGGCTATGCTAAAAATCTATAAAAGAAAAAGTTTTTGTGACCGACTACTCCACATACCTAGTGTCATAATCCTGTGCACGCCGCTGCGTACAACGTTGCAGTTCTTGTTGAACAATTACTTTCGGTTATCACTAAAAATAACACTTCCAATGGCTCTCCAGGTCCTCCAATGGAACTGTAGGAGTATCCGACGTAATAAACAAGATATTTCTTATTTAATCAATCAACATAAACCTGTTGTGTTTGCAGTCTCAGAAACCTGGTTGAAGCCTGATTTCCATTTTAGGATTTCGGGTTTCTCCTGCCTTCGGGACGATAGAAATGATGGTTATGCCGGTTGCGCTTTGTTGGTCAATAGGAATATCTCATTCTCTCAAATCGCATTACCAAATCATTCTCCTGGCTTAAATATTTTTGCCCTCAGAGCTTTTAATGTTTCCTTTGTCTCTGTGTACACCCCCATCCCAACACAAACATTTTTTTTTGAATTAAAAACAATTCTTCTAGCTATTCCTTCCCCTATGATAGTTCTAGGTGACTTTAACTGACGTCACACTCTATGGGGCTCTCCCTGTATTGACTCACACTCTTCTATATTACGTGATGCTATGGATGATTGTAACTTGTGCATTCTTAATGATGAATCTGCAACCCGTAGAGTTTCTCCTGCCCTAGTATCCCACCTATCCTTGTTTCCCCGTCCTAACTCTCTTGGTAGTGACCACTTCCCTATTCTAATCTCTTACTCCTCCTCTGCTTCATATGTCCCCCAAACACTACATATAGAGTTTCTCAAATATAGAGTTTCCCAAGCTCTAAAGAGACCCTAAAGGTTCGTCTTCCTATCGCCCTATTGCGCTTTCTTCAGTGCAGGCTAAAATCATGGAAACATTAATTAAATTTAGACTAGAATGGATTCTGGAACACAAGGAATTATTAGCTAAAAATCAGTATGGCTTTAGAAAGGGTTTAGGCACTTTAGATAGCCTCAGCATCCTTACCTCTGAAATTCGCCTCGCTTTCTTTTGTAACGAGAATGTAATCGGGGTGTTCTTGGACATCTCTGCAGCCTATGACAATGTACATCTTCCTCTTCTCAGGCAGAAAATGCTACAGCTGAGTATTCCAGCGAGGATGGTTCAAGTCATCTGCAATATGCTCATGTGTCGTTCCATTTCTATTCGTCATCAGGGTTCCTTCTCCCTCCCCGTCTCGTATGGAAGGGCCTTCCGCAAGGTTCAGTGCTTAGTCCCATCCTTTATAATATTTATACTTATGACCTAGACCAGTCTGTCAGCTCTTTCTGTAAAGTCCTCCAATATGCTGATGATGTTGCCTTATATTTTAAGTCATCTTCCTTCCCTACTGCCATTTCCCGTTTAAATTCCGCTCTTTATTACCTGAACGTTTGGCTTTTAGACCGCAATCTTTCTCTGTCTGTTACTAAATGTAATGTCCTTGTTTTCACTCGTAAACGTAATATCCCTGATATAAACCTCTCTGTTGCAGGTGAATTAATCCCAATCAAAGATAACGTAAAGTTTTTAGGCCTCATTCTCGATTCTAAATTATCAGGTATTCAGCATCTAAACCATGCCACTAAGAAGAGTGAAAGGGGTGTAAACGTTATGCGGGCCCTATCTGGGGTCCGTTGGGGCTCCCACCCTTTTTGCCAAAAACTCTTATCCAACGCCATAGTTCGCAGTCACTTTGATTATGCTTCTTTTCTTCTAGAACCATGCAATAAAATTGCTCTTTCTAAGCTACAACTAATTGCCTCCGAATCATTACTGGTGCTATGAAATGCTCTCCAGTAAACGCTTTCCAAGTTGAATGCTTAGAACCCCCTCTTCATCTTCGTCGCCAATTCCTAGCTGACAGATACTTCTTCAATGCAGCCCAAATTAATTCCCATCCCCTTCTTCCAATTTTGCTTCAACTTTCTAGTCTGGCCTCCACCTCATTGTACTGGAGACACAAGCCCTTCCCTTTACTCCTTAATTCCTTTATTAAAATGTAAAATCTATCCGATCCTATCTTTCAATCCTCTTTAAATCCTTTTTTTGAGCTAGACTATAATTCTTTAACTTTTCAACCTAAAATCATCCTTGACTTTGGCATCAATAAACATTCTCCGACAGACAACCAAAGTTTTCTTCACATCATTGCGGAGGACTGGTCTAATTGGGTTACGCTTTATACGGATGCATCAAAACTTTCTTTTTATCCTTAAAATTAGAGGTTCTTCACAGATGCCTATTGTCCGGTATTGAAGTAGTTCTAGCGTGGATCCCCAGTCATTCAGGTATAGCAGGCAATGAAACTGCGAACTCCTGCGCCAAAATAGCAGCTCAGACTGGATGCACGTCACACAAATTCTGTTTCGCCCGAGATCTGAGTTCCCTAGCCAAACTTTCATTGACTGAGTCCTGGAATAATACATGGTAAATTAGTAGAATGACCAAGGGTAAATTTTACGGCTCTCTTCAACCCTTAATTCCTTCTAGATCCTGGTTCTTCAAACAAAAACATGTTAGTAAGTCAGCCACCTCTACTATAATTCGTTTACGATTAGGATTTGTCAGTACCCCAGTTTTTCTTGCCAAAATTCGAGTTCGTGATCACTCCCTATGTGAGTGCGGTCTCGACGAAGGTACTCTAGAACATATTTTCTTCTCTTGTCCCAAATTAGTTGTACCTCTGTATGATCTACTCCATCAACAAATATCCCGACCCGTTAATTTGGCTTATCTCTTAACTCTAGTTCATACCCCTTTTGTCAAGATCCTTTTTTACTTTATTCGTATAAATAAAATAAATTTATAATCTTTTCTGATACATACAAGTACATACTTTTACTATTATACCATAAAAAAAATATATTTTTTTTTTGTTTTTTCTCTCTCCCGTCACACAGAATCACAAACAGAAACTGTCGAAATCACAACAATTTCCGCTTGTTATTCCAAATATTTTCAACCTACCAACTAATAAATCTACCTCCCACCTTGACGTTGGCAAAATCATCGATATCCGATGGAGCCATTGAATTAAAAGAAGA